CTCATGTGATTGGCTTAGAATTGAGGAGACATCTGATTGGCTATAGATAGAAAAAATTACAAGTACGAATCGGGTGACCGTCAGGGGAGTCTCAAAAAACCCACACACGAATGCAGAGCAATCCATGCACAGAAAGCGGTTTGTGTTTGCAGGTTCAGGGGATTTAAACGGAAAACAAATATGTGAGGATCAAAAATACATATGTAAAACTTTTTTCTGTATTTGGATTTTATTTACATGTATATGAAACGGAACACATTTGTGTGTGCATTGAAAAACACAAGTGTGGATCCGGAAATACAAGTGTGAATCCTTTTGTGGATCATGAAATACAAGTGTGAATCCTTCTGTGTGCATGCGTGTATTATGAGACTGTTCTGAGCCCATATAGTGGAAGCACAACCAAAAAAGGGGACGGCACGACACGGCACGCTTAAAGCGAGCTACGCGCTGCAATGGAAATGCGCCATTAGAACATCGCATAGCTCTTTTCGCGGACGACGTCATTTTGTTCCTTACGGACTTAGCTAATTAAATTCCAGCTTTACTAAATGTAATTAAGACTTTTGGATTATTTGCGAAAATCCCAAATTTCATTTGGAATAATAGACGACACAGGCTACGTTTGACATTATTATACTTACCGTATGACAGAGGAGGACTCAAACTTCCTAACTTCCAGTGGTATTGCTGGGCCGCCCATACGCAGCATAATGTATTACTTCTCCCCAGTCCCAGCATGAGTAGACATCGAAGCCTTTTCACTTACCTCTAAATTGCCACTTAACTCATACATGTATTCTGCCAATGTTAAAAAGCTCAGGGAACAAACATCTAAACATTTGTATTGAATATGATCAATGTTTGGTATAAAATGCAAGATGTGCTAGGGGGAAAATCGTCAATGTCCCGTTTTAGCCCAATCTGGGAAATGACCAATTTGAACCAGGAAGAATGGACCAAGGTTTCCATCATTGGGCAACGAAAGGTCTAACAAAAATAGGAGACATGTTTCAAGACGAAACGCTGATGTCATTTGAACAGTTGCGTACTAAATTTGGTCTTTCAAATAGCAGTTTTTTAAAATACTTACAGGTACAAAACTTTATAACTGCGCAATCAGTTATTAACTCCCCCACCACTTTCTGAACTGGAACGATTGATCTCTGATCATTGTCATGGGAAAAGGCTTATTTCAGTGCTATATTACTTGTTGGTTTTTAACTCCACTGAATCCTCTACCGACCGGCTTAACACCTGGAAGGGATATATACAAGAGGATATTTCCTTGGATGACTGGGGTGTGATATGTGCAGAGGCACATAGACAAACTGCGAATACGAGTAGTAAATAATAAAATAATTCACAAAATGCTAGATGTTAAGATATCTCTTGATCCTAAATTGTTTATTTTGGGGATTTTCCGCCCCAGTCATAACAAAGAATAAAAAGAATCTCATAAACATGTGTTTCCTCAAAGCAAAACGCTCGATTGCCTTGTCATGGAAGAACACTCAGAGGCCACAGGTGGGCTGAGGGAAATGAGTAATTGCTGTTCTGTGGAAAAGATAACGTATATTCTGAAAAGGAAAAATGAAACCTTTGATAGGGTTTGGGGCCCGTTTACTCAACTGTTAGGGAATGTTGATGTATCAATAACATTGGGAATCCATGAGAGCGATCTGGTTGAAAGGAAAAGTAAAGTACTTCTTAAACTGCTGTGACTATGTACACTTTTTAGGATAATGTTGCTACTGCCCAATTGTTTTTGTTTTATTTTTATTTTATTTCATTTCATGTCTTTTATTTGTATTATATATTTCAATTACATTTTTTTTAAATGATGTCCTGTCTTGTCTTTGCCTCTGTTTTTCCATTTTTTTGGTGCAAGTTTGTGTAGGGTATGGCGTGTCTTGTTTAAAAGAATGAAAAATGAATAACCATATTGTTTAAAAAAAACAAAAAACAGACATGACGCAGGGGGTGAAGAATTTTCAAAACAAAACAGGAAACTGGTGTGACAGATCGTGACATATTTATCCATATTATACAAATGTCCTTAGAAAAATTGATATTGTCTGAGATTTAGGATATCCTAATAATAGGAGTATTGTCTGTTTTAAAGGCTGTAAAGCGATATCATTTTCTGACTTTACCAGAATGTTATAGCAATTATATTATTTGCCTTTATCCAGTAAGTCAATGAAACCACTTAAGGCGAGACACTACAGGTGAATAGGGTAATTTTTTTCACTTAAAGATATCAGCTAGACATTTCTCCAGTTAATGACTTACATTAAGACAATTGTTTTTTGTATTACAAGTTTTATGAAATAGCATGTTTAAATATGCAAATGAGCCATAATCTCATAAAAAATGTGCATATTTTAATACATTTCAGGAACACAATTCTGAACATTGGATAAAGTCAGGTTCAAAATTCTTGTTTCATTTTGTAGTCATATTAGAATCTAAAGTTTTTACAGAAGGGATTTTGGATATCTCTTTTTATCACTCCATAAATCAGAAAATACTGTCAACAGCCCTAAAATATCAATTTTCGCCATGTTTTTAGGTGTAAAATGTTATATAATTCAGGCTATGAATGATATATAAACAAACCCTTCTGTAAAAACCTTCAGAATATTGATAGGAATATAACTGGAAGGTTTGGTCTATGTAAGTGCTATTTAAGTGGACATTTCTCACTCTCACAAAAAACTCATTTTGAGAAAACGACCTTTAAAGATTGCAGTGTTGCGCTAGCTAAACCCTGCTGTTCTTTGGATGACAGCTTGCGCATCGACGCACTCCGTGAAGGTATTTCATGTTCAGGGTCATTTGTTTTTTGTCTAACATTGCTTCGTGCAAGTGACAATTGTTGTTGTCTTCTCTGTGAACGTTTTTTCGCTGTTCTTTTGCCATTTTGAGATTTAAATTTCCAGCGCAAGCTAAACCAGGAAGTGTTTTAGCACACCACGTGACGCATCTGAACGAATCACGTTGTCAGAAATTGACCCCAGCCAATGAGTGTCGTTTTTTGGTTTAAGACCCCTTTGTACTTTTCACTTTCATTGGTTGCTGATACAAAGTAAATGACCATATTTGGATCCGATGAGATTGTGCAGGAGGGTCGGAGCTTTCTTTACTTTACTTTACTTTACATCACTTGTTAGATGCTTTTATCCAAAGCGACTTACATACTCAATACTGTGGGCTATCCCCACAGGAGCAATTTGGGGTGAAGTCTCTTGCCCAGGGACACAACGACATGCTGACTGCAGTGGGACTCGAACTTCCCATCTCCTGATTTGAAGTTCAGCGCACTAACCACTGAGCCACAGCCTCCCTTTCCAACGATACCTCTGATTACATGGTGCAAACAGCGGTCGCGGTACTTTATGTTACGTTAGAATGCTAACTTTTGGTGAATTTAGGAGAAATCGCAAATAGACAAACTATAGTAAAATAAACACCTAAATGTGTATTTTGTACGTTTTTCTTCCAAAAGCCTGAAAGAAAACATGTTATGGAATCAAAATAGCACAAAATCTCAAAATTGACCAGTGCATGAAAAACGATGTTTTTGCCTGCCGTGTCTCGCCTTAAGAAATAATTATTTATCAAAGTTCTCATTGTGTAGCTATGTTTTAAAAGCATCAAATGTCAACTGTGCAATGGCCTCACAATATTGATATCATGGGATTTGGTCAAAAATATCACATTTGATTTCCTTCATATGGCCCAGCTTTAAAGTGGACCTATCATGCTATATTTAAATTATATATTGTAGGGCCATACCTATATAAGGTATATTTATACGTTTCTGTTTTCAAAATACCAAACAGATCATGCATTTTAGCCATGCCTCATTTCGCTCTATGTGCAGTTTGCTGTCTACGGGTCTGATTCTGCTGACCACGCCCCCCTGCAGGAGAGGGGAGATGTGCTCTGATCAGCTGCTGGGCTGTCAGAAGAGGGGGAGAAAAAGAGATCTCCGTCCTCCTTGTTTTATTATATAGAGTCGTTATTCATTTGTTTTAAGGCTCAATAAATAACAAAGAAGACCTTTGACCGGCACTTTTCTAATTTTGTCCGGAAGATTTAAACTTTAACGGACATCTTGACCGGCGAAAGAAACTGAAACTGAAACTCTGCCGCACGGTCCCCTCGTTCCTTGGAAGAGGCGGAGAGGTGGGTGTTTGTCATCTGCTGGTGGACTAACCGGAGAGAATTACAGTGCTTGCCTCGACGGGGAGGGATTGCATTGAATTAAAGCAGCAGAAGGAGCAAACGCTTGCCTCGGGGAGGGAGAAAAAAAGCCACAGCGGAGAATAAACAGAAGGGTAACCATGGTAACTATGGGCGGGAAGTCTTCTTCGCTGCTTTTTTGGCAGACTACAGCGCCACTTACAGGCCTGGCATATGTACTACAGCGTCTTCAGCGCTTTCGAGCGGCAATGGCCGGCCGTGGCCCAACCCCACATTCCCCTGATAGGTGGAGAGTTGGCCCAATAGCCGTAGCGCCACCGTCCTGACGTCAGGACAGTGTTCAAATCTGGATCAGTTTTTATCAGATCCGTTGCAGCCCCTTTTTTAGAGATTTGGGTATGGAGGAAAATAGAGAGGGTTGTGTTTTCTGACACTTGGTGAGTTCCCTGGAACACCGGGGACACATATTCATGTATAAAAGACGTACAAAAGTGCATTTTGCATGATAGGTCCCCTTTAAGTTTTAGTAACAGGTCCATGAGCCTACCGTACAATGTTTAATGACCCCCCCCTTCAACAGCTAGAAGCATGTTTGAATGACACGTTGTACACAGATGTTTGTTTCAAGCACAGCCTTGACACCCCGGCACTTTTGTTAGGTGTGTTAAAAACAGCTAATATCAAGGCATGATTAAAATCTCTCGAAAGGTATTTATTGTTACTTAAGTTCTGTTACATAATGACTAATGCATGTGGTCTTTCGGGAAAACAGATGTAGCATGAGGTACCTTCCCCCGCTGACCAGGTGAGAGTCCGTCAGAACAAAGCGACACACATCACCCTTGTGACCCGAGAAGATTTCAGACGGGTGACGCTGGAGCCTCCCAGAGTCTCGGCACAGATGGAATGCTCCAATATCAGCAGCCTGAGACAGATACAGCATGTCCCCATCCAGCTGCAGCCATGGCAACAGCCTAAAGACAAGATATGTGCTTTAAGAGGGATGCATGTTAAAAGTGGGGGTAAATGTGTAGGGGCAGGACTGTCCATGGTTCTGAAGCCGAGAGGAGGGTATGAGCCTGCGCGCTTTTCATGGTTGTATATAGAACTTTCAATGCAAGCCACAGGCGGACAGGAAAACCACTTTTAATAAATGTAAATAAAGAATGCTTTGTGTGTGAAGACAGTTTTAATCAGCAGATGTCTAATGTGCCTCTGTGAATGGTTGATGCATTTTGTGACTATTTCTCTCTAGCTGAGTAAATAAGTAATAGTAATTATAAAAAATTAAAGAGACTTGACGGTTGACACACAACCGTCTTTTTCTCCACAACCACCTGGAGACCCCCAGAAAGTATCTGCCTCCGGACCATACATGTTTTCTTTTTTACCTGGGGTCTTTTTTTTTTAATATGGAGATTTTTTTAAAGTCAAGCATTACAGCCTTTACACCGTTTATAGAAAAAAATTCTCAAATGCTTACTTTGTTTTCCATTTGAGAGGAATTGTTCTTTTGCAGAGCCCGCTCAACCAGTTGTGAGCAACCTTCACTCTCTCCTTCAGCTGGAGGTCAGGATATCTGCAGGGACAGGGACTGTGTGTTAGTGACATACTGAACACTGCCTTTACATTAGGATTCATTCAAGTATTTTTTTAATTACATGTAAAAATATCTACATATTTATGTCATGTTTTCAGTCAGTTCTGAGGCCTGTACGACGAAGCCGGATTTTCGCTTAGGGAGCGGAATTCCCTGAGATTTTCGCTCAGGGAAAACTCTGGGTTTTCGGTCCTACAACGCTGGTTCACTTCTTAGCGGGCTAGAACTCCATGGTAACTTATGCTGAACGACTAGCCTGCTCCCGAGCAGGTTAGGTTCCAGGATAAGAGATCAAGTCAGTGAAAGCACCGCCTGCTGACCAATCAGAGCTCAGTGTGCGGAGTTTAAAGCTATCAAGTCATATTACAGGATAGAGGAAATACAGAAAAACTGCCGTTGCAGGAAAGACGGCCGGCAAAAATCAACTGACTGTGTGAACGTGAAAATTAATAGAATATCCCCTCCCATCTTCAGAGCAATCTGACTAATATAACATTAGCGTTAAGAAAGCTTACTTAAATATCTGCCACAACATAAGTAACCGGATCAGAGTAACATTAAGTACAGTCCGCAGCACTGTGAGTGCAGACGTCGATGTGTCCCATTATCATTCATATCACATAGGGCTGTGCAATTAATCGTATTTTAATCGCAATTACGATTTTAGCCTGCCACAATTACGAAAACAACATAATCGGAAAAAACAATTATTTTGCTTTGCTAGGTTGTGACAGTGCACTGCAACATATTTTATCTAATTAATTTTGGTCTAATTTATTTGTATTTATCATATTTATATATGTTTAGTAGCTTGTGGAAGTGCGCTCCAAAATATTTGTTGATCTTGTTTATTGGTATTTATTATTTTGATATTATTTATTTAAATGTAAATATAAATGTATCATTTATTTAATTTATTTTTGTATTGGTTTTTCAGTTGAATTATACGGTCAGGGTAATCAACAGTTAAAAAGATACTGTTCAAATTATTATTTGACAGCCCAGCAGCTGATCAGAGCACGTCTCCCCTCTCCTGCAGGGGGGCGTGGTCAGCAGAATCAGACCCGTAGACAGCAAACAGCACATAGAGCGAAATGAGGCATGGCTAAAATGCATGATCTGTTTGGTATTTTGAAAACAGAAACGTATACATATACCTTATATAGGTATGGCCCTACATCATTTAAATATAGCATGATAGGTCCACTTTAAAATGCAATGGAGGTGAAATTCATTTGTACTGCTCACAGTAATGAAAAAAACTCATTAGAAAAATAACACAGTATCTTATCAATTTGTTTTGTATGGCTCAAGAGACACAGCTTATGTAAAAGGTTAAAACACAGACAAACCGTTTCAACTCATGGGCCCCAATGCTGTTAAACTTACACTCCTAAGTTAAGTTGTTATTTTGTTTCTTCTTTACTTGCTTGTAAAGCGCTTTGAGCACCAGGAAAAGCGCTATATAAATGTAATGTATTATTATTATTATTATTAAGTGCAATACTCTGTATGACTGTTTACATTTGTACACTTTTGTACAATGACAATAAAGGCTTTATATTCTATTCGAGGTAAAACAGATAACTCCCTGTGCATCAGACAGAATCGGGGAGTTCAAGGTTGTTTGAGGATAACAGCCTGACATGTAAGGACGATTTACTTCTGCTCACTTTGGAATACTTTTCTGAGAAAATGCAGTTCTTGTGTGTGTGCTCATCTAGCTCAGTATTAAATGCATTCACATGTGATGAGAGAGCCCATGTCTGGGGGGGACGGTCTACTCAGAATGGCCTGCTTCCGTGAGGCCAGCACCCCGACTACAGGAGGGCTGACTCAGGATCTCTCTTAGGAGAGTAACTATGACAACATCGTAATCAGGAGTAGCTAGCCATGGATCTGTGTGTGTGTGTGTGTGTGTGTGTGTGTGTGTGTGTGTGTGTGTGTGTGTGTGTGTGTGTGTGTGTGTGTGTGTGTGTGTGTGTGTGTGTGTGTGTCTGTGTGTCTGTGTGTGTGTAAACAATGGCCCTGCTCATAACACAGCCCAAGCTAATGCTAAGCTACACACATACATCAGGGATGTCATCAGTGTGCGACTGTTATCTTACATGTCCGTTCCATTTCGAGTAATTCCAGTGTTTAAACATTCTTTAGCAATCTTCCTCCACACTTCGTCTCGGCTCACAAAGCGGTAAATACTTTTACAAACTTGAGAGAGGCGACTGAGGGATGTGCAGTCCAAATGGGACAAGATATGGTAGAGAACGTCCTCCGGAAGCTGGGACAGCAGCAGCATTCTGTGCGGGCAGCGCTGCATGTCGGCCCGGTCTCTGAATACAGGAAGCGGCACCGGGACCACTGACAGCAGCTGATGACGACAATCCAACGCGACCGGACGTGATGACGTAGGGCGCTGGGTTTTGGTTGTGCGCTTTGAAGTCCGGACAGTGAGGACTGCCTGCCGGGGAGCCAGGCTGCGTCTCAGCGCGGACCCATGGAGCTCAGTCCTCCTGGTCCTGGACAAAAGTTTTGATCATTGAAACGATAAGATTCATTCGAAAGTTGTTTTCCTGAACTTTGCAAATTACAATAAAGTATTCAAACTCAAATAAGCATATTAAAAAAAATGTCAGGTTGAATATTATTTTTGATTTAATTTAGAAATGATTTAGAATTATTTATTTTTGTATATTTCATTTTCAAATATATTTTGTTATTTGAGTGTTTTATTTCAGTTGTAGATTTGATGCTTTCAGATTCAGAAAAAAAGTTCTATCAAAACTATATTTTTCCAAAATACACTTATTAGGTTATTACCGGACTGCACTCGTGGTATCCTTCTTGCTCAGTTTTGTTGACTTCTCTGAATTCCAGTTTCATTCACCGATTACTCAACGAATGATAATCGTGTGAATCCTTTCAGTAGATTAGGACATTAGAGCTAACTAGAGAATGGAATTCCTGAAGAAATTGCTAGTGGGAATGCTTTATGCTGAAAAGCTGATGCTGAATTGCTATGCTGAAATGTAATGTGTAAGAAGAAGGCTTGAATGTGTGATGAGAGAAGAAAAGAAAGTAAAAAGGCTTGGAAAAGCAGCAGAATATTTGAACTGCAAACTTTTGAACTAACTTGATGGCGAATGATCTGTCGCCATGCCAACGGCATTTGATGACATCCCATAATACGCTTAGATGCGTTGATGGCTGCATCGTTACCAAACCTGTGAAGTTTTGGGCCGTTTGGAGCATTTTCACTGAAGTTATGAGAAAACCGTGTTTCATGGCGAGCCTTGTGTTACCATGGCAACGGCATTTGAAGAAATCTCAAAACTGTCACGTAGATGTCGTCACAGCTGGACTGTTAGCACACATGTGAAGTTTGAGCACTTTTTGAAAATGTTCATAGGAGTTATAGCGACATCGTGTTTTATGGCGAGGGATGCGTTTCCATGGAAACAACATATGGTGAGATCTCAGATTTGGCGTAGAGCTGTTGAGGCATGGACCGGTGATATACAAGTGAAGATTGGGGGACGATTGGACCGTGTCCATTGGACTTACAGCGACATCGTGTTTCATGGCGAGTGGTCTGTCACCATGGCAACGGCATTTGATGACACCCCATAATACGCTTAGATGCGTTGATGGCTGCATCATTACCAAACCTGTGAAGTTTTGGGCCGTTTGGAGCATTTTCACTGAAGTTATGAGAAAACCGTGTTTCATGGCGAGCATTGTGTTGCCATGGCAACGGCATTTGAAGAAATCTCAAAACTGTCCCGTAGATGTCTTCACGGCTGGACTGTTAGCACACATGGGAAGTTTGAGCACTTTTTGAACATTTTCATAGGAGTTAATGTATAGCGACATCGTCTTTTATGGCGAGGGAAACGGCATATGATGACACCCCATAATTGACGTAGAGCTGTTGAGGGCAGGACCATTAACCATTATCTGAAGTCTGCTGCTCTGAGCATGTCAGTTGGAGTTATGACATCATCGTGTTCCATGACACAGGTGTTTATATTTGAGCTAACGAGGTGTCCAGAGATCAAAGGTTTCCATTGTTCTGAATGAGAGATAAACCTCTTACATGTGAACGTTTTGTTGAAGAACAGATACAGATATCTGTGAAATTTCAAAGCGTGAAGCATCTCAAGGACCTTGAGTATCTGAAGTGTAATTTTTGTGTACTTTCGGGTCAATAATGTGGCCTTTTTGGCAGATTAACTAAAGGTAATCTGCTACCGTGAGGAAATATCAGCCTGAAATTACAATGAGCTTTAATGGAGACATGTTGAAAGTTTTTGTCACTTCATGCCCTCAAGAGGCATTTTGTTTAATTATTTTTGCTTAATTATTTGTCATTTTTCAAGCTACGAGATGTTTTCCTACGTTTGTCATGAAAAATGATGTCTCAGGAATGTAGGGTTTGGGAATTATGGCAGTTTTAAAAAGATATATGAAGGCAAATTTCAAGATTTCCTACCCTCTAGCTGTGACATCACGCACTCTAGTTCATGTTAAAATCTGAAGAAAGCCTCTTTACCAAGGTCTGAACAATGTTTAATATCTCTAAAAATAAGAATCAGATTTAAAAGTTGTGTTACACGAATAATGTCAGAAAGATGTGTAACATTTTAAAGTTGGAATTAGGTTTCTGAGTGAAAGTATGAAGGAACAGTTAGCAGTTGAAGTCGCATGAAGATTTGTTCAAGTCTGAAGATTTTGTCCATTGACTTCAATGGTTGAAAATGTGATGAATTATGGGATGTATCTCTGGAATTATGAAAGTTATGAATGAGAAAAGTAATAGCAATCGATTCCCGACCGAGCTGAACGTTTTGATGTTTGAACGGAGTTTCTGCGATGTGGAATGTGGGAGTAGAAGACCGGCAAAATAACGGTTGGAATAAAATTAAAGAATTTCGTGCGTAGAAGAACAGATAGTTGGAATGCTGTTATCAGCATTCCCACTAAATTAAAATGTATTCCCTGGTATGTATCAGCTTGTGATTTATTCAGACATTGTGCAGTAAAAGGAAAGTGAGTCTAGCTCAGTAGGGCCCTGTTTAGCCACTAAAACTGCCAAGGTTGTGTTACGGTCAAATGACTACTAAAAGTTGATTGACCTTAGGACATTTTGTGAGGCGTTTAACCGTTTAGCATCAGTAGCATCAATTTGTGCTCATTCACATCATGAGGGTCCTCAAGCCTGCAGTGAGGAGTGGCAACCCTGTAGCTCTTTGATCAGCTGAGCACAACCGCACATAATTGAAATATGCAGATCGTTTTTCAAGACATGTCCCGTTGTTGAATGCTGTGCTTTCTAAAAGGCCATGTCCCAAACACTGGGCCGTCGAAAAAAATCATTTATGGTTGGCTTTCCAGCTGAACTGTCATGAGTAAAAGGAAATGAAGAGGTTGGGAGGAGGGTTACGGGAGTGGAGGCGAGATTTGGGGGTTGCAGTGGGGGTGTTTTAAGGGGCTATGGAAGGGAGGGGGGTCTTCCCTTTTGATGTTTTTAGGGCAGCAAAAAGGGAGGGGGGCTCTGCCTGAGCTGGCAAACACATTTAGCCAGTAATTGTTCAGATCAGACTGACAATCAGTCTTGGAAATGCATGGACAAACAAAAGTTTACAGCTCCAATTGGAAGAGTCAACAGGTCTCGCATAAGGCCCGTACATAAACAATGAAACTGTCGAGCTGGAGCTTCACTTTGATCAGTTGTTTGCGTTTCAATTATCCAGCCTGGTCGGACTGGTGGCTTTTGTTAGCACTGCTGAATGGGGGCTTGGATTTAATGGGCCTGCCTGTCATTTCTGATAGAGAATCCATCCACCTTACTGCGTCTGCACTCAGTATGTGAACATCCTAAGACTAGCTCAAAACAGTACCGTATAAAATCTCTTATTACATAGTCATTGTAGTCAAGTAGTTCTACTCAATAAAAGCATATGGTGTGTGATGACAGAAACATAGAAGAACCATATAAGACTAAATGGCTCTTATTTCTAACGTCTCTGCATCATTTCCTACAACTGTCTCAACACTTTACCAAACAGTAAAGCTGTGTATGTAACATTAATATTTAGTGAGTATAGGCTGCAATGCATTCAAGTAGCCTGAAATGTTTCTCTGATGCATGATGGTTTAATTGTTGTTCCGTTTCCATTTCCCAGACTGCCAGGAATACATTTTTGCAGATAAAACAATATGGTCACTTAGATTGGATTGGCGAAGTTTAGAAACTGAAATTCAGGATGGAAAGACCATCCAACTAGCTGTCATATATTTGAAGGGGAACATTTTTAATTTCTTTCCCTTGACACCAGCTCATTATCTTTCAATGACACGTTTTTCTGAAGCAGTAGATCGACTTGAACTTACTTGTTTACTCCATAAAACCTAGTAATCTATCATATGCTATGGGAATAAACTATTCTCCCTGAATGTTTCCGAGCGTACAGGAGTGGCTGGAGGTTGTAAGTGCTTTTTGATGGGGCCAGCTTCTGTATTGGCTTGTTTTCGTTGGGGCTGCTTAGGGAGGCAGGGTCGTGTTCTCTGTTCACCCCTGCTATTCTACAGCCTCCACGGGGGGGGGGGGGGGGCGAGGCAGGGGTTAAATTGCTCCCTAAGCAAATGAAGAAGGTAGCTCTGTTTGTTTATCCGGGGTTAAGAATGATGGTTGTGGCTCAATAAAATGGATGAAAGCAATGTTACCCCCGTTCTTCAGCGCTGGAATTGCTCCACATTTGCATGGCAGCATTGGCGACACAGAAGGTGTGATTTTTCCCACAAGTCAGTTCACTGAGGTTCACTCTAACTTTACAGACACCGGAGGAGGTGTGGGGGGGGCTAATTGAATCCATTTACACAAAGTCCACTTGCCTTACAGAGGCTCCGCAACAACACCATAAAGTCACGGAGTCATGTTCCACCATACTGTCATCAGTACTGTTCTATTACATCAGTGAGTTATCACAAGGAGATGGCTTTAACTGATTGAGTGGATGCTAGTGAGCTTGGGGAGTCCTAAGGGACAGATCCCTCTGTTAATCCAATGTGGAAGGAGTTAAGGAGATTAATGTCAACTTTTGTCAAGACCTTTCATTCTTGTCTGTGGGTTGCCCTGCTTTTCAGGTCAAGAATTACTAGTGAAGGAATTGTCAGCAAGTGCAGGGTCACACAAGATTTTTATTATAAAAAGATAATTTATTATTATTAAGATACTCTATTGGATTTACTTGACGACTAATGAGCTATAAGGGCGACCATGCAGTATAGTGTGTTTTACTCTTTTAAGATAGCGAACTAAATATCTTTGGGGTTTATATCAAGCTTGACATCTGAAGTTTTTTTTTAATGTTTTTGCAGTTTAATAAATAAACTGCAAAAATAATCAACAGAGTTATTGAAAATATAAATAATTGTTAACGGAAATGTTGTCCCTGACCAATCTTTTCTGACCTATGTTATGTTTAGATGAGCTGGATAGTCACAAACAAACTATTATATCTTATCAAAGTCCTGAATCTACTCAGAAGCCTATTCATTATATCATGGTTGTCACTGTGCTTAAAACAAAACCAATTCCAACTGTCAAACACTCACTCACTCACGCACACACGCACGCACGCACGCACGCACGCACGCACGCACGCACGCACGCACGCACGCACGCACGCATACACGCACACACACACACACACACACACACACACACACACACACACACACACACACTCACACCACACACACACACACACGCACACACACACGCACACACACACACACACACACACACTCACACACACACACACTCACACACACACACACTCACACACACACACACACTCACACACTCACACACACACACACCACACACACTCACACACACTCACACACACACACACACAACACACACACTCACACACACACACACACACACTCACACACACCACACACACACACACACACACACACACACACTCACACACACACCACACACACACACTCACACACACACACACACACACACACACACACACACACACACACACACACACACGCACACACACACACACAGTCAAGTGTGATTGTCCAATCAGAATGAAGCTGTGAAAGGAGGAAGATGAAACAGTTCGGATACCGAGAGTTACGGGCCTGATGGAAGCAAAAGCCTAAAAACAAACACAGTGGTATCAATCCCACAACAGCAAAGCACTCTGACACTGACATGCTGTTAGCTGCTAAACTGGGATGATAGGGGGGGGGGGGGTTGACCTTGTTATCCCTGTTGGGATCAGACTAAGAATACCCTCCATGTTAGCTTTCCCTGGTCAGGTTTCATATGGGAGAAAGCAAAGGCCACAGCGTTTCCCTTCTGCTCTACTTAAGAGCTGATGGTGTAACAAAGTTAACACCATCAGACTCACAAAAGAGTTCTAATGGTTAAAGTGAATATACAGATATGGTAGTTAAAGGGTTGTAGAATCCTCCAATGAAAATCTGTTTGCTAAGAAGTGGTTGTGAAGGGAAGTTTCAAACCTGCACACCACGCATAAATCAGGCCCCATCTCTTTGCCTAACCACTTCCCTTAACCTGAGTGAACAACGGTATGGGGTAAAGGAAACATGTGAAGGAGAATTCTAGAGGACCTAGGAAAAGACGACCGGGGTACTCACCGTGGTACGTGGTACTGCACTTACACTACATCATTGTTATGCGTCAGCTGAATTTACTGAGAAGGTCCGAAATATAATGAGGTCGTGACTGGTGTTCCTGGGGGCCGACAAGGAATGCAATGATTACATTACATATCATTTAGCTGACGCTTTTATCCAAATAAGTGCAAAAACCATAAAGAATCAAACTCCGGACAACAAGGAAAGTGCAGAGATATTCACTTCAAGCAAAAATCATACCATAGTAAGAGCTGGTGAATCAGATACAAGGCCTACAACAAGTCAACAAGTGCTTCGTTCTTTTTTTTCTTTTTTTCAGCAATAACTGAATTGCCACGGTACACTCGAAATAGATGCGTTCTCAGTTTGTGACGGAACATATGCAGAGTTTCTGCTGTCCTGATGTCAATAGGGAGCTCATTCCACCATTTGGGAGCCAGGATAGCAGACAGTGTGTTTTTGAGGGGTACATGGGTCCCACTCGCAGAGATGGAGTAGCAAGCCAATTGGCTGACGGTGAGCGTAGTGCACATGCTGTAGTATATGGTGTAATGATATCCAGGGCTTTGATAGGAGCAACTTTGATAATGGATGCTTGGTAATATATTGGTCAGGTTCCCAGGGCCCTGAGGTTGTGCGATGAGGCCCCCCCGACACCACCTAGCGGCAGCTGGAAACATTAGCAGTAAATGACTTGATCAAATGAAAAGATGTTGTAACAGCTCCTCCATCAATCTCTTGCTTGTCATTGTTGAGCATTGGATAAGGGCATAGGGTAAACAGGGCCAACTCTGTGCTGTGAAACTCAGAGGATCTTGGTTTGAATGATATAAAGATAGGGATAGCTGTGGACAGAGATAGATGTGGACCTTGTAAAAAATATAAAACAGGGCACTATACAGCAGGTATAAAACCACCTTAGATGGAACACCTATTTAAGCATTGATGATGTAAAAGAGTAGGTAGGCATGTATGTACCCCAGTGCAACTCTGTCAGAGCAGAAGGACCTAATGGGATCTGATCTGACAGCAGCATTAGTACTGAGGGCACTGTGGAGGAAAGGAGGTTAGAACAGGTAGTCATATGCACTGACTCTTTTCTGCTGTAATGGTATGGGAGGTGGGGAGATGTGCAGGGCTAGAACTGATACAGTGAGAGGGGGTTTAATGATGGTTCTTAAACTGAAGCAGATGCAGGTTTTATACAGCTGACATTTCAAAAGATGCATCATAAAGGAAAGAATGAATCACCAATGGCAACAACGAAGGGATGCAGACAGCAGAGGAAGACCATTCTAAAACATCCAACTGTCAGTTAAACCGGGAAGCAGAGTGGATATGCCTCGAAAGGATGAGGGCTAGTTGACAAGATTGAATCTATGTCATTGTGGACTCATGCTTTTGGGAAAATACAAAGGTGCCAATTGAACACTGTGGAGTCCTGGAGACTGTCCAACATCTGCTGATAAACGGTCAATTTCATACCAGGTAAAGGATAGAAGAAGTTAAACTGGGAGATTATAACACGTACAAATCATAACTTTATTAGGTTAGTAGACAAGCAATAATATTACCTTTAAATAGGTTCAACTTAATATTATTGCTTTCAACTAACCTAATACAGTTATGTGGAACCTATTGACAAAATACATTTAATTAAAGTCAACGGTTCAGTTTTTTCAATGTATCAAAAAGAGAGATCTAGGGAAGTAATTCACTTCTTAAAGACCGTAGAAGAAGAAGAAGAAGAAGGAGAATAAGAAGAAGGAGATGCTTCCCCTTCTCTCCCAGTTCACTTCGCACCCTGCTCCCTCACAGGCCTAAAGGAATTGTTGGACACAATATCGTCATTGTAAAAGATGGTCCAGTGCATCCTGAAGGAAATCAAATAAATCTGTCTTCTCGACCTGGAGTTCTGGAAGCCACCTCGTGGTGTTGTGATAGACAGGGGCCTGCAGCAGACAGACAGGGTTCCATGTTTAAGAGCCACAAACACGCGTGCTAATCCAGGCTTACAATTTTTCTCATTCACTGTTTCACTGCTCCATTCTTAATTTGTATTATTATTTAAATTAAGTCTAATCTCTGATCAATTTATTGCCCACAAATAAAAAAATTGTATATATTGATTCAGAACACATGTTGTGAATATAATATAATATATTGGTAACAGATTGTTAACTATTCAAGTTTTAGTTTGCTTTTCTTAATTAGGCTGCATGAATCTAAGATCCGTGCATCAATCAGAGCTTTTCTATACTCCATTTATTATTTATTTTATAACAATTGTTTTTAACAAGCTTAATTTCTTCTTCCTGATTCAAGATTCAAAGGCTTTAACATTATATGCACAGTAGTTACATTGTAGTTATGGCAATGAAAAACCTAAGTCTCGAGCGCCTCCAACAATACAACATATTATATATGGGACATAAAACAATTAAATCAGAGTATAATGAAGGGAGGCTGTGGCTCAGTGTGCTGGACTTCGAATCAGGGGATAGCAAGTTCGAGTTTGGGGTTGTCCACAGTACTGAATGTATGTAAGTGGCTTTGGATAAAAGCGTTTAACAAATGACACGTAATGTAATGTAATGACGTAGAATAAATGGTAACATGTTCAGTCTGTCTTCAGAGGTGACTTGCCTGTACAGAGACCAACAACAGAAACACAACTGAAGTGATGTAGTGTGTGTGCATGTGCTTTGAAATATATTGTTATTTTTTTTAATGTATTGTACCATTGTAATCTTGCAAGTCAATGTAATTGAATACGGTGAACTTTTATGTATCCCGATTACATAATCCTGTTACATGTAATCGGCTACTCCTCATCCCTGGTTTTGGGTTACACAGGTATGGTCGCTTTAGGCTTTATCCTCATGAACAGCCCTATGTCATAATGATGATATGTGTGTGTGTGAAGTTGTATACTATTAGCAAGATCGTCATTTGAACATTTGAGCTGTGGGGCTAAGTGAAGGCTCATTAGTGTTTGTGTCTAGACTGTTGTATGTGTGTAGTTTTGTGTATGCTGTGATTGGGGTACTACTAGTCAGTTTGAAAGGTTTCACACACCTTAAAACTCAGTATTCAGATTGACTACTTATTGTTCATTTAGAGTGCTGTAGAGCTCACAGCTCAGAGCCACCTTCACCAAGCTGAACGGACCACAGCTTCCCCAAAGTGAACCCAGAACATCAGCTGTGTAACTGTTTAGGGAGCGCTTCATTTGAAATGCAGCAGCGTGTCACATTTTAAACAAAGACTCTGAACGCCTTATTTTCACAATAGGTCATTTGTTGTACATTTTTCTCTGCATCAGACTGACAGAGCTCAGTAATATTAGGAGACGGCTGCTCAGGGTTTCACAAATGGGACTTGTGCAGGCATGTACCAAACAAGAGTTTAATATCAACATTTTAATGTACATTTATTACACATTTTAAATAAATATTCCATCCTTAACATTTTTGTACACATCCTCAAATAAAAATATATTTATATATGTATAAAAACACTCATTCAGGGGGCAACAGAAACACAGAGGGTGAGGGGCAGTGGCGGGGGGCTGGGGTTCCTTTCTCATCAACACAACAGTCCGCAGAGGAAACCCGTGATTATCAAACGTAGCTGCCACATTGTTCAATCAACAGGAAGATGGAGGAAGGGGTCAGGGGGCACGCGGCGCTCCTGCAGTGCGTCGGCAGGCCTTCAAGTGTCCAGCGGACCCCAGGGGGCAGGGCAAATAAAACCAGGACAACTCCAACATGTCCCCACAGTCAGACCTCAAGCTGTGTGCATCTAAAACTAAGTCTGGAGTACAAAAATAGATTTCTCACATTGTTGTCTATGTACAGTTTTTCTGACTTGGAGAGAAATATAAAAACCACTCGCCTACATATGAAGCTATAGTTATGCTCAGTATAAAAGGGGGAGGGCCGAGTGGGGGCAGTCTGTGCCCCCTCCTCAATGCTCCGAGTAGCGTGTGCGTTTAGTCCTTTGGTTGAATGGGTAGTGGATGAAGTCAAAGGGCCGGTGATGGCTGGTGAGGGCGGGCTGCACCCCCTTCGGCAGCCGCTTCATGAAGTGGACCTCGCGCTGGTGCTGGCGCGTCCGTGAGCCTTTCCGTGGTCGCCCGCGGCGCGTGAACGCCATGTACCAGCTCTCATAGCGCGCATTCCTCAGAGCTGTGTAGTTGTTCTCCAGCACGATCTCCGTGAAGATACAGTCCCGGCCCTGCCCGCTGTTCTGCACACACACAGAGAGAAACACAGTCAGAGGGGTGTTTACAGAACATTACAGAGGCTTACATTCAGGGTAGATCAGAGAGGCGGTGCTTCAGCCCCCGTCCAGCAGCCCTGTGGCTCAGCTCCATGAAGCCGCTCTGCCGCTTTGCACTCCTCTTGCATTTGTGGTTACATTGAACCGTGCAGGTCAGCTTCACTCTACTAACCATCAGCAGATCTTTAAACACACAACTGTAGCTCAGGTTGGGATAAGAGCATAGCAGGAACACTGCCTCCGAGATCAGTGTTCAGTAAGGGCAGCTGACACACTGAGCCTACAAGCATTGTGTTAAAAATAGGCACGATACACCCAACAAACTAACAACTCACCATCAAACACATTCACACCAACACACACACATGCAATCACACACACACTAGCACACAAACACACCAGGAGGCCAGGGAGGGCTGTTACTGGGCCAGCAGCTCCGGGCAGATGGTGTTAGAGGCAGGGTGCTAGGTGGAGGGGAGTGAGAGAGAGAGTGTGTGTGTGTGTGTGTGTGTGTGTGTGTGTGTGTGTGTGTGTGTGTGTGTGTGTGTGTGTGTGTGTGTGTGTGTGTGCGTGCATGTGTGCACGTGTGTGCGTGTGTGTGTGTGTGTGTGCATGCATGTGTGCACGTGTGTGTGTGTGTGTGTGCGTGCATGTGTGCACGTGTGTGTGTGTGTGTGTGTGTGTGTATGTGTGTGTGTGTGTGTGTGTAAGGCTGGCAGCTCTGTTTATTAGCCTTCACAGTGAGATACATACTCACATGGGCACAACATTAGGGAAACACAACAAACAACACATCTAAGCCCTAACCTTACATTGACTTTCACATCAATATAAATAAAACAATGAGCCTCTAAACTCGAGTGAGTAATATGGGTATAGGCTTCACTAAAATGTGTTAATATGATTCCATCTTTTGGGTTTTTTTCTCTTTCAATGAAATGTATAATAGATGAAATCACTATTCATATTTCCGATGTTATTGTTTAACACATTATGGGTGATTCTAGGTGAGGAATAATTTCATGGGCAGTGATATCCAATTGCAAGTAATATGCAGTAATATGCTATATTTACTGCAAACACACAGCTCTTACACTAGCTGCATATCAACCCAAACCATATATTTTCACTGTGCACAAAACGTTGTGAAACAGAGCTAATGACATACTGAAGCCTAATGGAAGATTTGGATTTCTCTGACACCTTGAGCTTTTCCAGAAAACACAGAACACAATAATAAAAACTCTCACTCCTTTGCTTCATTTGTCCTCACCTTGCCAATGAGCTTTCCCTTCTTGTTCATGCAGATGTAGAAGCCCGTCTCAGCGCCCTTGATGCGTACTCGGCTCCCAAAGGTGTCCGTTTCCACAACCAGCTTAGCTAAAGAAATCAAACAGAAAGAGTTCTGTTAGCTCAGAGCAGAGCGAGTGAGTGACTTAGCAGTGCACATGCATGTATGCGGACATAAAAGCGTGAACAAAACACACACACACACACACACACACACACACACACACACACACACACACACACACACACACACACACACACACACACAGCCTGAAGGACCATTCCTGGGGATTTATGCAAGCTGAGATTCTTGCTGAATGATAAAACCACGTGTCTCTCGATTCTTTGAAAGCTGAAGAGACGATCCTGGCAGGACCATCAAGATTTATTTTCTAAGTAAATCTACATTGACCTGACATACAGAGCTCCACGTCTCTGTGTCCCTCAGTGGGACAGAAAGACACAGGACATGTGGACAGCTAACGGAGCAAGATAAAATACTGTGATTATTCTGCTTTTGCAAAATAACATATATGTATATCAGTGTGCAGAATACAATGTGTTACACTGCACTGATCTGACATGCTCCCAAGTTTTCTCCAGAACATTAAAAGCAGATAACCTTTGTTATGCTTATTGGCTCGTAGAAATGGTTTCATTGCCTGGACCACAGGGTTATTAAGGTCAAACACTGAATATAACCACCTCAAGGTTTTGGTCAGACACACACACACACACACACACACACACACACACACACACACACACACACACACACACACACACACACACACACACACACACACACACACACACAGGGGCTATGCTGGAAATGTTCAGAAGAGAAAGATTACTTCTAATGTCTCTTCAAGACCTGCGGGTCTCTAGAGGATAGCCCCCAGCACCATCTACAACACACACACACACACACACACACACACACACACACACACACACACACACACACACACAAACACACAGAGCACTGCAATGTCAGTAGTAAAAAGTAAAAGTTAATCAAAACAGTAAAAGTCAAATATAGATAACACAGAAAAAAAGGAAGTGTAGAAGTAACCGACACATTAGTCCTGTAAACCCATCAGTATTTTTTTTTAACAAAGAAATGTTTTTGTTAAATACTATAAAATTGCAGACCACAGGCGAAATGTATAAACCCTCGAGCCTGAAGTGTCCACGCGATGAGAGGACAATTAAAGAGATTGTATTCAGGTCAGGAGTGGAGGTAAAAGAGAATAATAATACTTTTTGCATTTTTGGAATATTTCAAAAACGTATTTTGCTTAACTATACAAATATTTTTTAAAGAACACATTTTAAAAATAAAAAGTGATCCAGTTGAACTCTTACCGTGTACGTCTCCATCCTCCGCCATGGCGTTGATCTTCTTGTTGGGCAGGACCTGCACGTGCTTGCCGCTCGTGCGGCTGTACAGCTGGTAGATCCGGATCAGCCGGCGGCTCACGCGGTCCGTCACTTTGCTCTGCTCGCTTACATGCTGCGTGAAATTAGGCGGGGACTGATTGGTTACCTGTCAGAAATTAGATGTCATCACAGTAATCAGTATGTGTACACGAGCCTTATGAATGTATTCCTTACGACATGACACTAAACTGAGATGGAAATAAACTAAGCTATGATAGTGAGAGTCTGCAGGTTGACACACAGAGAGGAGGTTGTTGTTTTTTCCCCGCGTGACAAATGTAACAAGTTCCTGAGGCCGCTGCCAAACACAATGAACAGCTTCTGGAGGCCCGCGCGCTGATTACAGGCTGCGCGTCCGCCGCAGAGCGCACTGTGTGGATGTGGGTCTCTGCGCTGCGGTGGGAGGACTGTTGCTGACGGAAACATTGGCTCTGGTGAAGTCCCACGACATTTCTCACTGGATTCGCAAACATTTCCCTGGCCCGTCTGTGCCCGCGCGCACCGTGCCAGACCCGGTGTGTTCAGCAGCAACCTGCCAGCATACTGCTGTATTATATATTGTGCTGATGTCTATCCTCACCATATGCTTTAAATATTTCAGAGACTAACCCCTATACAATTGCCCTAAAAAAAAGGAAGATTGTAAAACATGCATATGAAAAGAAAATGAAGTAACATACCTGAGCATAGTAGCACAATACAAATAAGTGTAGACATCTGAAAATAAGAAGACAAAATGCAAGTTAGTTCGCACCATTAACAGTGCAAACGTGAAGTGTGGAGCTGCGGGAGGAGAGGCACTCACAGGTAGCTCAGTCCGGATGGGAGGGCTCTCATGATGGATGGAGGTGAAAAGCTCTTCCAGTATATTCTCACCAGGATCCTCTCAGAGCTGCTTTCGTTACTGATCAAACTCTCAAGACCCGAGACTCCGGAATCCACAGTTAGGTCAGAGGTGCTGACGGAGAGGACACATCCCTCAGAGGATAAATGTCCATGAGAGGCTCCGCGCTGCAGGCTGGGTGCACTTGCAGGAGCGGAGCTGCGCGGTTAAGTTTGGGGGGAGCTGCGGGGAGTTGGTCCGGGCTGTGCGGCGGATCCTCGCTGCTCTACGGCCCTCAGGTGTGTGTGCTCTCGCTGTAGATAGATGCTGCTCCGCTGGGTTGTGGCAGGATTGCAGGCTCCTCTCTCTGTTCATCCCACACCGCTCCACTGTCAATCCTACACACCCCCGGTTAAAGCTGGCAGGCTGATCTGCTAAGAACAAGCCCCCTTTTCTGCAGAACAAAAGCGGCCAGCCCCTGACCCGCTACCCCCTCCCTCCCATTGATTTAAAACCTCTCTACCTGAGGAGCGCGCACACTGCAGGGGGAGAGGGTGAGGAGGAGCCGGCTGCAGCAGCTTTCTGGGAGTCTAAAGATGAGTGAGGAGGATACAGTAGAGATCACCTCCTCCCTACCCTCTGCAGCTTTGTGTATTGACGGAGCAAAGTGTGAGACATATTAAAAGGATTACAGGCGATTAGCGTTTTTACGCCCCCCCTCCCGTCATTTGATAAAGAGAAGGGTTTAAGTGAAGTGCAGAGACAAACAGGCTTTAAAGACTTAAAAGAAAATGTGTATAAAGCAAAGCTGAAACATGCTGATGGATAGTTTGGGACATTCACACCTCTGTTTCTGACAGGAGAGCTGCACATTCATGATCCGCTCACCGCGCCCTTTAATAAAGAAGAGCCATTATCAGTTAGACTTTATTGATTGTTTGACCATTAATTACAGTGCTCAGTATCGGCCCCATCAGGGAAACAGAAACCCAGCACGGTGTGATTAATAAAGATCATAATCTGAGCAGAGAGGCCTGTTGTGAAGGAGCAGTCTCCCTGGTTAGACATTACTCAAGGAGCACATCAACGTTTATCCAGAGGGCTGCAGATCTTAATACTGTCTGTGTCTGTTGACTTGAAACATCTAAGACTTTTGGAGGGAAAAATCCCAACTGTTGAACAGGCCATCAGAAAGTCCCCCTGTCCTGCAGGACCCAGCCACCAGAGGGAGCTGCACTGGGAGCCGCTCTCATGCATCTGCTGTGTGTGTTCTACAAGATGCAACAGAACATTGTACTGTCTCTGCCACTCTCTCCTGGCCCAGGGCCCGGCTGCCCCCCCCCCCCCCTTCCCCAGGAACCCTGCATCCATCAGCAGCCCTGCGGGGGGCACACACCCCTCCCCTTCTGCTCCCACTCCCCCTCTATCTTCACCCATAACCAGAGCACCACCACATAAATAGTATTTGAACATATTTACGTTAAACAAAATGCAGTATTTCCGTGCTTTCTCCTCAATTATATTCCCAAACAGCATTTGGAGCAACTATTTATGCTCTACATGATATTTGTCACATTTATTTTATTATATATTTCGAAATCACCTTGCGGGTAATAAAGGGGACTTTATGGTTGTGTAACTGAATAAAAGCTGCCATAATGTTGACTGTGATGTGTTACATTACTTTTACACAGTGGTGAGATAATAACCCCTCACAGTACTGGCAAGTGGAGTTGACTTTGTGGTGCCCACAGTATTGAAAGATGACATTGGAAGCTCAACAGCATGTCTGTCCGTCTCACTCTGGATAAAGCACACGACGCATGGGAAACTATTGGAACTATTGCTTCTGAAGAGATTTGTTCACAGTTTGGTCCATTGCTATTTATTTAATAGCACCCCCCTACCCTGTTCCTTCCCCTCATACCTTGGTTACACCTCTCTCTCCATCAGTCCTGCTCTGCATTCCAACGTGCAGCCATCTGCCCCCCCCCATCCTCCTCTCTCCATCACCTCTCTCTCTTCCCTTCACCTCGGTGGGCTTTAGTGTGTCAGTATGCTTGGGGGGCTTGGGGCGGTGGTGGCGAAGTCGATAGGGAGTTGGCTTGGCAACTGGAAGGTCACCAGTTCCAGTCCCGGCAAGACCAAGTGCTACCGAGGCGTCCCTGAGCAAGGCACCGTTCCCTACACTGCTCCCCGGGCAGATGGGGCTCATAGCCATGGAAGGCAACCCATCTAGGAGAAGGACACTCTGAACTAAAACCAGGACTGAGAGGAGTTGCGCCCCCCAGTCCTTAATCAGCATAGTAAAGCCAACCATGAAGAACAAAGTCATATACGGAGCAAACCGGGATGACTGGAAGCGACGATGGAGGGCTCGTCTGAGGACGACCTAGAGCAGGGGTCTCCAACACGTCGATCGCGAGCTACCGGTAGCTCGCAAGCAAATCCAAAATGTAAAAAATACACCAAAAATAAAGGAAATGCTTGATTTGCGGGACCAGCGTTGCAGTCTGGAAGAAAAGCAATGTGGAGCGGCAGCTCACCGCTTCATAAGGAGTTGAACCTTTCCTTCTGGCAGAATCTACACAACACC